GAGCACTGGTATAGATCCTTTACCTCTGTGTCTTCTTTGTGGGAGAGCAGTTTTCAAAGTCACCCCTGAGATTGCTAACTCCAGACAGAGCTGTGCAGGGTACTTTTGGAGAAGATTTCTTCCAGTGCTTAGTGTAGTTGAGCATCAGGTTATGCTTTTCCTCATGTCTGGATTTAATTGTTAATAATTTGTATGAGGAAAAAAAAGTTTTCTTACTTAGCAGGCATATAACTGGCATCTGGTCATTGTACCAATCAACTGATGCATCGATAAAAAGTGCCCAAAATGAGAGATAGAGAAAATAAACTATCTAAGCAGAATCGCCCCTAAATAATTTAATAATTTCTCATTTTCTTTTTCCTTTCCTTTCCTTTTCATTTTCCTTTCCTTTTCCTTTCCTTTTCCTTTCCTTTTCCTTTCCTTTTCCTTTCCTTTTCCTTTTCTTTCCTCTTAAGAACTTCATGCCTACAACAGCAGTTGTATAAGGCCCTGAGTAGAAATGACATATAAAAATCTGTAGAGGAGCTTCTTGGGAACCTGTTCTGCCTTCCCTGTACACACGTTAATAGAAGTTATGTGCACTTATTGAGAGGAGAACAGACCTCTGTAATGAGACTTAATTCCAAAGTTTCTTTTGCAGAAGGAAATGCAAGTTGTAAGCACTTCCTGACACTGCCAAGAAAATGGTAACCTTCTTTGCAACAGTCCTGCTAATACAGTTTGTATTTATTATGGGTCTTTTTTTGGTTTTCTCATACTAGGGAATACTTTTCAAGAACTTATGGGCATTAGTTTCTCACTTTTAATTTTGCAGTTGTTGATATTCTTAAAAAATTACTAGCTTTTTGAGTAAAGCTGTTGCTTATGATAGTTATTTGACACTATTATAGACGAAACTGCAAAGAAATAATAGAGTATCTTAAGAAACCAGGTACTGTCACATTAGAAAAGAGAAAAGAAAAAAATCAAGCATCAGTCTGAAATCACTGTATTGACTGCAGATAAAAATAACAAGTTTGTGACAGCTGAGAGAAAGGAGGAGAAGCACGTTGCTTTTAAGTTTAGCCTTTGTTCTTTGGCCATGTGCCCTATACCCCATTCAGGTCTCTAGAATGGTTCACTGACTTGAAACTCTGGCTGCCTTTAATCGCACGGGTTTTATTTATTTAAGTAATGTGAGAAAAAGTATTGAGCTAGTCGGGACTTCTTAACTTGGATTAAATAGTCGACTTTACAGATATTTTTTGTTCAACACCTTTAAAAGTCAGGTCTCTTTTTTTCTACTGATTTCCAAATGCCATTTTTTCATGGTGGTTTTGAATTGTCATTGCACCTTCAAAGAATCTTGCTGAGAGCTGGTTGATAGCGCCATACATATTTACACAATGTCAGCAGCAAAATCATCCATAACAGTGAAACAGAAAACAGTTGTTGCTAAACAACAACTATTATAGTTACTGTGCAAGTCATTTGGATTTTTTTTCCTTTTTAGCATTTCTCTTTTTGTCTGGAAAAGCAAACATGCAAAAACTTACACTTGTAAAATACTTGATTTATGAAAACATGGTATTTGTTCCATATATTTTTTTTAAAAAGAATTAAAAAATCACTTGTAAATACTGTGCATTGTTTAAAAATTAAAGTTCTTCTGATAAAGCAGTGAAATGAGAAAAATAAAAGCATTTTAGAATACTAATCATATCCTGTATTAGGTAAGGGATTTCTGCCTCTTATCATACATTTTTTTCTTAAACGAAGTAGAATACTAATGATTTGTGTAAATCAGATGTCAGCTTCTTTGAGTTGTTTTATAAATAGTGAAACTTGGAACATGCATCAACCTTGCTGTAGATTTCAATATCTCTTCATTAAGTTGTAGTTAAAAATAGCCAAAACCTCCATGGCTGCTTCGGTCTTAGTGGGAGGTATTGGGCTTTCTGTTGAGGTTCCCTGTGTGATTAGCACAGCTCTGTGTTGCAATGACTGCCTTATTTTGGAGCGTTCAACCATACGCGTTTGCCTGGGACAAAACACATTTGGGGCAGTTCTACCTTCTTATAAAGATTTCTCCTGTGGCTGCTGCAGAAATAGGAGGTGAGTTGATGCCAAGGCAAAAATCTGACGTTTCAAGTAATGAGTTTTGGGCAGTGGGGTCTTCTTCTGCACATAGGCTGAACTTCAGCATTTCTTCTCAGTGATGTAGATCCCCTTCCCACTGTTGGGAAGGAGTGGAGTGGTTTCTTGGAGTAATGCTGCCTTCCTGGATGGTTTTGGTTTATTGGTTTCTCCAGAATTACTCTCCAGTTCTTTTGACAGTGGGGGGTGCATGTTTCCCTCCTCATACTTTATACTTTCACTTCCCAAAGTTGCCATGCTTATGATTTAGAGGGCAGTTACTAGATGCATTTCTTCTTTTCTGTTCTCCCCCCCCTTTCTTTTTAGCACCCAACCTCTCACCTAGAAAGTCAAGTACTTGTCTCATGCTTCATGTTGTTACAACATTTGGTGGAAGAGCCACGTGAACTAGAGCTGCATGACTGCATGAACAGAAATAGCCTTCATCTGAGCCAGTGGAACTGTGTTCTTGCCTATTTTTTACTACTGGAAAAAATATATACAACTGAGTCCTTTTTCTCAAGCTTGCATTCATAGTTTCTTGTTGCATTATGAGTGGTTGCTGCTGGGTAGTGTGTGAGAGCTCATCTGCTTTGCTTTGTGTTTTTTGAAGGAAAGGTGTGTGTGCTCTCATGGGGCTTGATTGAAATGAATTTTCCCAAGTGTGTTGTAATCGTTAGCCTATGAGTCCTGTGTAAAGTAGATCTTGTAATAATGTCCCTCTTCAGGAAGACAGACAAAGGTTGACAGACAGCTCTGTTGCAGAACTAGGAACTGGAACCCTATTTTCTAGCCTTGAGTGGAATTCAGCTCCAAATTAAGAGCTCCAAATTAAGACATCTGAACTATGGAAAAAACGAAAGTTAGCAGAGATCTCTGGCGGTCATTGGTCCAACCATGTGTTGAAAGCAGGTCATTTAGAGCATTGTCAAGGTGACTCTTACTATTTCTAGGAAGGGAAATTCTACCACTTCTCTAGCCTTCTCAGTTTAAGTGTTCTGATGATGAACAGATTCTCTCAGTATCTGGGTGGAATTTCCCCTGTTGCCTCTTGTCCTCTCCTTGGGGCATCCTAGTGAGGAGTATCCCCATATCCTCTGTAACTATGAAGGTGCTGATTCTTGTGCTCTGTTAAAAGTCAGTGAAGTTATGTCAGTACAGCCTGCAGAGGAAAGCAACAGAAAGGCTGTTTGGGGTGGGATTTAGATGCCTGAACAAAAGTGTCTAGTGCTATTTTAGATACCCTAGAGTATCAGGGTATCAGTCATCTGCAAGAGACGGGCAGCTATGACTTTCTCTCACAGCAGTAAGCAAATCATTGGCACCTCAATGATATGCCTGTACTGTTTTGAGAGGAGTCACAAGCCCAAATTCATACTGAATTTAAGTCCATGCTGGACAACCCAAGTACCCTGTGGGTGGACAGGGTGTTGTGTCGCAGGCTGAACCTCTGCCCGGGGGATGAAGGTCCCTTTTGTCCTTGAGAGGCTGTCACGCATCTACCTCAGGGCAGGGAGCTGAGCTTCAGATCTTTTCTATAAGGATTCCGATATCTCGTGCCCAAAGCATGCATGAGGTTTCCCAAAAACCTGGACTCAAGACTGCCCCAATAATCGTGCCATGGTGCTGTAATGTGGGTGCAGGAATTGTGGGCCATGTCAGGGATTGTGGCAGACTTGGGTAGTAGATACGGCTTACGCCGTCAAGTGTCACTTGGCTTTTTTTGACACGTAGCTGAGTGGGAAGGTGTCTGTAGCGAAGATTCTCTTCTTGACTCTGTGGTTCAGCTAAGTGAATGCTGAAGAACTGAGTGAGAATCAATCAAGATGCATTTTCCTCTTTACTGTGAAGACTTCATGAGCAAATGATGAACCGTGTTTCATATCTCTTGTGCCAAAAAAAAAAAAAACCAATAAACCAAACAAGCAAACGTTTGGAAATTGACAAAGATTTTCTATTGCTCTCTGTAAATCCAACTAATCTCATTCATGCAAGGTGTAACTTACAAATAAATCTTAAGTGCAACAAGTGTCTATCACTTTATTACTATTTTTTAATATCTTTTTGCTTTAAGTGTTTGGTTCATCACACCTCTCCTGGACTGTAGAGCTAGCATTCTACATATTTATAGGAATTCAGATTAGAGTAACATTTTCAGTGCATTAAAATCAACAGCAAGCTCCTGTTGATTACAGCCTGTCCAAGACTTAGCTAGTACAGTGTAATACACAAAGAGTTATCCGTGTTTCTTTGCATCACTATTTGTGCTGGTGACAATGATATCCTTTTCTGTGAATTAAAGTACATATGTAAATCATTCTAACAAGATGAAATTCTTTTTGATAGCGAACAGAAATTTAGCAGCTCAGTTGGGGTATTTAATTGCCATATTTCAGTTGACTTTGCTCCTGTCCTTTGTGTTCATTGTTATCATTGATTCAGACCAGCAGAATTATGTCCCATATACAGGGAAAATAAATGACAATAATTTTGATAGTAAGTTGATCATTTGCTCAGAAATGAGCTTTTGCTTTTTTTTTTCATTTAATTAAATAACTTTTTCAGACTCCTAAAAAGAACGTTTTCTTAAGAATGCAGCATTTACTGTACTTTTTTCACATCCACAGCATTCAACACAGAAAAAAGAAAATACTATTTTGGTTCTGTTCTTACTAAAAATAAGATCTTGTTATTTGTTTAGTGTTGAATGATGTTTTCAGTGTGTCCAAGACTGTAGCTTGCTGTATCATCTACTAGCCAATGCAGCAAGAAGTGTTACTCAACCTGCATGTATGTGTTCCAGGATAGTCATTTGTTCTGTTCATTATGAATGTAAATATTGTTTTTAAGGCAATGGTAACCAAGAGTATTTTTCCTATTTACAGAGCAAGCTTTACATGGAAGGATTTAGAAGCCTAAAAGAAGGAGAACCAGTGGAATTTACTTTTAAGAAATCTTCCAAAGGCCTTGAATCAATACGGGTAACAGGCCCTGGTGGGAGCCCCTGTTTAGGAAGTGAAAGACGACCCAAAGGGAAGACAGTACAAAAAAGAAAACCAAAGGGAGATAGGTAATTACCTTGCTTTGCTATTTTTTCTTCTTCTCCTTTTTTTTTTTTTTCTTCTTTGGAAGTTTTTCTCAAATTTATGTTTTGAGCCTTTGTTCATTTGTGAAACTGTTCTGTATAAATTTGACTTTTATATGTAGCCTAGTAATTTGACTGAACTAATTTGTACCCATAGAACAACATAAATCACACACTCGATTGTTTTTACTTTAGAAAGCCTATGTTGGCTTAGAGGAAGCGTGTAAAGGAATGTAATGTTATTTTGAAAATATTGCTATTAGACTGAAAAGAGAGGTCAGTCTGAATGCAGGTGAAGTCATGTCATGTTTGGTTGAGAACTGTGCATGCTAAAGAGTATGTTGTGTGCAGCAGGGTTTTTAACTGTGCATCAGTAGTTCCATATAGAAGAAAGTGTAAGTAGTGTAGCTAAGGTTGAAAGTCTAATATTAATGAGATGTATGTAATTTGATTAATTATATTTTTGCTTATTGAACAGAACATCAGGCTTTTTTCAAAAGGGCCTTATGGTCTGCAGAATGACTTACTCTTGTGATATTATGCTGTGTTTTACAATTTGGACCTTAGAGCTGCACATCCTTACACAAGTGCAGTGTCTGACCTTGCGTATTGCTCAACTTCACTTTCTGCCTCTAATGGCTTGAGGAAGTTGTATAATAAGCTGAACTGTGAAGCCACTTGCACCTAGTTCCACAAAGGCAGTCTTGCTGTCCCAAAGCTTCTGTATTTCTGTATTTGTGTGAATATCACTTCCACCTGAATTTCCCTTTTTCCTCACAGTGTTGCCAAGCCCAGTAGCTGTAACAACTGAGATGAAGGAAAATATATAGTTTGTGAAGGTCTGACTGTATTTAGTACATCCTAGTAAGAGCATCCCAAGAGCTAAGTTCTCCCTTGTAGTATTTGATTTATGGCATAACTCTTCCATTACAAATTCTAAAACAGAAGATCTTGGGAAACAGAGGATCACCTGAAAAAGAAGCGCAGCCTAGCCTCTGGAAACTGGGGATTAGAAGCTTTCTCCTTTTTTTTTTTTTTTTTAATCAAGAACTGGAGACAATATAATAGTTGTCCTCTTTTTACCTTTTTCGTTAAAACTGGAGGACATGAACAAAATGTATTGCTACTGAGTGGCTGCTGTAACAGAGCAGAGTCCATAGCCACAAGGGGAGGCTTTGTAAGCAGGACAAAGCTTTCTTTTGGGTTGGTAGCATATCTGCCCTTTCAGAGCTGGGTTGCATGCAGTGGCTGTTAACAATTCAGTATTTCTTTTGTTTTATTTAAAGATAGTCTTCCAGTTTAGTTGTTCTTTATCCATTTGTTTCCCATGGACTATAATTAGTAATCTGTGAAGGATATTAGGATTATCATTGTTACTGATGTTTCATATTACAGTGACAAATGTGTAGTCATGCTATAGTGATACTGTTGTCCAGTTTGTTGCGCAAGCGTAAGAGGGAAGGTGGTCCTTGCTTCAAAAAAAATATTGAACTTTAAATAGGCAGGATGTAAATAGACCAGGAAAAAAAATACATATTTAAGGAGACACTGATTTGAACAAATGTATGCAGCTCGGATACCGAGTGGAGTTAGTGAAGAGGGATGGGTATTTTCAGAAAGTAATTCCTATCATCCTACGTAATCTAAAATAGATGGGATAAATCTTGCCTCTTGACTGTTTCTTTTTGTGGGCTATAAAGGGAGCCTAGCTGGAGTGCTGTCAGTAATTATCTTACACGTCTCTCAAGTTAAGTGAGATGAATCCCATTCTCAGTTATGTTTTGTCGTAGCTAAAGCATAGAGGGAGAATTGAACGCACACACTTTGAAAAATGGTGCAGGAAGGTGATCCATGAGACAGTGCACTCTTTTATGTCTCATCTGCCCCTAAAGAAGGAACCATGCAAAATTAAATTAGATTTGCATATGATAATGTGGACAAAAACATCTGCCCACTTCTGTCTTCCAAATTTCAGTTATGCTTAAGTAGAGAAGATACCAAACATCAGGAGAAGCACTGACATCTTCACTCGGTGAAGAGTAGTGTCTTTGCTTGCTTGGAAGGAGAATCAGATTCAATACGAAATCTGACCAGTAGAAAGGAGAGAGTTGAGAGGAGATTTGATCAGCATGTTCAAGTACCTGAGGAGTGACTGTAGGGAGGAGGGGGCCAGACTCTTCTCTGTGGTGGGCAGTGACAGGACAAGGGGTAACGGGTGTAAGTTGAAACACAGGAAGTTCCACCTCCATGTGAGGAAGCACTTTACTGTGAGGGTGACAGAGCCCTGGAACAGGCTGCCCAGTATATAGTAAATGTAACCCACCCTTTCAAGATACAGTTTGGAAGAAGGGAAAGTGAGGATAGAGAAAACAGGTTACTATAGTTTAATTTTAACAGACCAGGAAACTTTCAAGGGAAAAATGAGTGCAAATTCACTTGTTTTAGACAAACATTTCCAGTGTTTTCTGTGCCAAAAGGGAACTACAGGAAGGACTGTGCTATTAGTCACATTTTTTTAAGACTATGATACAAATATCAAGATACATTAATGATACATATATTAAGATTTTAAGATTCAAATTTATATATCTGGAGAGTTACTCTTTAGTGCAGTGTGTATTCAGATAAATTTGACCTGCAGACCTTTGGCACAATGTTAACGAAGATGATCAATGGTGCTCCCAGGACAAGAATGTAGGGTTGGCATTGAGACCCCACGACATTGTTCAGGATCTATAAATATCCCTAATAGAGAGCCAAAGTCAAATATTTTTTCAGCAGAGTTTTCTGTACTGTTGAATCTGCTTTGCTTGAATTAACCTCAGGTGGAACATTTGGGGGGAAAAAAAAATGGCGGGGGAATTCCAAAGTATGAGTAACATTACACCTGATTAAATCAATAGAATAAAGCAAGAGGAAGGGACAAGGAAGAAATAACTAAGCATCTCTCAATTCTAGTTCAGCAAGTTTCATGCTACACTCTCCTAACAGCACCTGGGGCAAGGAAGCTTCAGATTGCACCAGATTCCACCTTTGATGAATATAACATGCTGGTCTCACCCTCCACCCTTTAATTCATTGGGATTAGTTTTAGGAATGGGTTTGCTGTGGGGTCAGAGGAGGGGTTGTTCATACCAGGCTGGCAGGGGGAGCATTGCAGTGGGGACCCATGGGGACCACCACTTACTTTGTTCTCTTGCACAAAACCTGCCGTATGGAAAGAGGTCCCTCCATCCCACTATCCTGTTTCCAACACTGGCGTGTATTTACGGAGTCAGTCAGTGTAGGAGTAGGGAAGGAGACCTTCCATCTTGGTGGTTTAGGCGTTTGTTCAGTGCCAACACCTAACTCTCAAAAGGCAAATAGATGTTGCTTTAAATATCTTGGGAGGGCTGGATCCTTCTACCTAGATCCTTAAGCACATTTTGAGGTTTTTTTGTACATCATTTTATATATTTATAATTTATGTTATATAGGTTGTATTTACAATTTGCATATGTTCAAGAAATGTGTAGATGAGACAGGGAATGGTTTAGCAGGCACGGTGTTAAAGTGCTTATGGTTGGATTTGATGATCTTGAAGGTCTTTTCCAACCATAATGATTCTGTGATTCTACCATATTTAGGCAATAGGCTAGAAACAGTGTTAAGCAGCAGTATGTGATGAGCTTTCTTACCTGATCTTGTTATCAATATTTGCTGACTATGCCACAGTAAGCCACTAATGTAATATGAACTTCTCATTACAGACAGAACTTGCAGAACATTACTAGATTAAAAAAAAAAAAAGCCAAATAACTTTATACTGTAATCTAGTGTTTTCAGGAGGTTATAGCTTTGCTGGACTTAGATCATTAGGGACAAAGTTTTTCAATATTTGTTTCTTTCTTCAGGATGTCAGTTTGCTTTTGGAGTCTTAGCAATAGTCCAGATTTTTCCAAGAGTGGGTTACAATCAGAAAGCTTTTTAAATAAGAGTTAAAAGATAGGGGAATTTGGGTTGTTTGTTTGTATAGCTGTCGCTTTGTGCTTTGGAACGGAAGCTTGAAGCCTGGCTTGGAAATGGGTCTCAAGAGCCAGGAGGTTACCTGTCCTTGAATTTGTGCAAATCCATCCAAATCTAAGTTACAGGTCACTGGAAGGCGTTACTACATGTATTTATTGAACAGTCCTTGTTAAAATCTCCAGATCATCCGTCTGTGTTAGAACAAGTTCAACAACCACGCAGCTCCTGCATACTGAATATTTCAGCATACTTCCAGCCTCAGTATGCCCATCATGGCTGGAACAAAATGGGATTTCTAAGATAGGATAATTTCCTCATCAAAAGAAGATGAAAGACAGGTGGGCCAAGGGAAGAAGAGGAAACAAGTGTCCCTTGCTGGTGTGTATAGTGCCTGACATCTATGGGTCATACAACATTGGGTATGATTTTCCCTCCAGCCTTAGGGTGTACATAAACTTCAGGCTGTTCTGGAAATGTCAGCTGTAGTGGCTAAGTAAATTGTAGTAGCTACATTTCCTCATTCAAGGAGCTGTTTTCTGTTTCATGTATTTTTAATAAGGAAATTCACTATAAGGCAACTTGATTTTTTTTTTCAGTGTTTCTGGTTAAACATCTATGAATATATAGTGGCTCCATACGGCCTACTTTCTTGGGTGCAAGCAAGAAATGGGCTGTGCAGTTAGGCTCATAAACGAACCAAATGCACCTTTGAGGTTAAGTGTTTATTGATAGGGCTGTTCATGTGTTTTCAGTGAAGCAGATTTCTGGGCTGAAACAACCCCGGGAACCTGATAGAAAGTTTGCCCAGTTTTCACTAAGTCATGTCCAAGCCTGATATACTTAATTGGGAGCTTGTATTAAGCACAGAGTAGAGCCAGAATAAAGATGTCTTAAATGTCTCTCTGAATGTGTAGACATTTTTCATAGTATTTATAATAAGAAATACAAATTTGTTGCTAAAGTAAGTAGATACAGTTCCA